AGGACTTCTGTTACTTGGAGGATTCGTGAGAGAATCCTGTTTGTTGATATGATCCATGAGAGGACTCCTGTTACTTGGAGGATTCGTGAGAGAATCCTGTTTGTTGATAGGATCCATGAGAGGAATCCTGTTATGTTCTTCATTGCGCTTTAGCTTGGAGGACTTTTCTTCTGTTTGGTGAAACCTGTAATTTCCATAGATCTCACAAAATAATAACATTATATCATGGAGATGATAATTGTAACAAGATCATGTTAAAATAATAATGTTGTTGATAGGAAATGTAGCATTTGTTTTTGAGTTTGTCTGTGTTCTGTGTTTCACGCGAGATTTTTGTCTTCGCCTTTTAGCAGTCGTGGAGCCCTGCAATCTCTTATGAATTTCACAATAGAAGTAGTTAAGATACCTCAAGATAAGGGCATATAAATCAGATAAACTGTTCTAAGTCTATCTTCATTCTCAGTAAGATTGAGATCGTCACTGTTCATGATCCCTGCAACTTTCATGAGTTTTCATAACAGAGACATAAGATTGTCAAAATAAGTCATATATGTCACAATTTGTATCGCTTGAGCATCCTGCAAGTTTATGTAATCTCTGTGATCTTCAGTAGTGATTTAAGCATTCATGATATCTTCTGTCGATAAATGGTACTGATATGTACATCTCAGTGGTCTGGAGTTTTATGCGAAAGCGAATGGCGATATATTGGCTTATGTCTTGGTCCCATCGCGCATTAATCAATATAGTGCCCTGTCATTTTGTAAGTAGTACCAATACTACAGGCATTATAATCAAATATATGCTGGGTCTCGCAAACTTTATCTAATCAAATATATTTGTAAGCAAAGTATATGTTGGCACGAGCACGATGCTACGAGGAGTCTTATGTCGTGAGTTGTCACCGTGGAAACAAAACGGTATAGACCGTAGTTCCAGATTGTTAAGTTAATATATGTAGCTTACATGCTTCCACCCTGTATCGCACGAACGAATACTTCCATAACCTTGGTTATGATACATGTAAGGTCATCTACAAATCGCGCAATGGTACTTGAGTTGGGTAAAATATGCCTTCCTTTTCGAGGGAGTTCCTTGACAAGCTACAACAGTACTTGAGATATAAACCTTCTTAAGGTTTTAAAATTGTTTCGTTTGTTGCTCTCACAAGTCATAATCGCGCAACATCTGGGAATTATGCACACATATATGGGAGATGTAATGGTTTTGGTAAAGAATCATATGAACTTTTCCAACTGATATTTTCACATGAATTTTCCAGATGATAAGAGAAAGCAGCAACCGAAGCTCGATGATTCGAGTACGTGCACTGATAAGAGACGAAGATGAAAACGTATATGTGTAGCTATATTCATCCATGTACTATTCCTTCAATCCTCTAAGGAAGTCCACGCACATGTTTTAGTTTCCAGAAGCCCAGGATAGGTATCTCTTTTTTAGATTTTTGCGCAGTGCTATTATAATTTACGCAATAGTGTAACCAGCTCATAAAAATCATGTATCAAGTCGCATGATTAAGTACATACAACATGTATGCATGCAGGATATCATGGTGTCTTTGTTTGCCACGACGCGATACTCTCTACTTGGAAATAACCAACAAGAAATATAATGTTTAAGATTGAAGTCGGTGAAGCGGTGGTCTGATAAAGCATCTGTAACCAAATGAATCTTTAACCTTTATGAAATAAGTGGAAACGTGCTCGTGACATATCCTATCAACTTTTTAATTTTATGAGATATTGCTTATATCATTATTCTATATTTTAACCATGAAGATTCAAAAGTCTTCAAAAAGTCGTCCCATGGAAGGCCATCGCGCGAGCATTTAATTCTTCAAATTGTATAGGCCTGTGGGCATAATACCATTGCGTAATAATCATATATTGATAATGTTCTTACACGCGACCATTGCTCAATGGTTTGAGAACCAGCTTTAGATACCTCTCGCTTCCACAGTAGTTAATCGCTTTAACACTCTAAGAATTTAGACATGTCAGAGTAGATACCCTAAGTTGCGCTTATTAAGATTAGTCATCCTTAAAGCTGATATATCTTTCTGCATAATCCTCTCTATACTTAAAACAATATATATCCCCATGTGCCTTTATTGGAAGCAACACTCTAATCCATGCTTCTCTGAACTTAAGATCATATCCCACCTAGGAATCTTTGCTTTGACAATCTTTGAGATAGCAAGTCCTTAGTAGCATTCTCCACCAACGTGCGGAGACACTAAAATATTGGTAGCATCGTGCAAGGTCTCCAACATGATAGGTCCAGCATTGAAGAGATCCATTTTCATAATATCAGGAAAGATACTATTAATCATATTTTCATAATACGATTTCATCATCGCGCATTCTCCTATAACCATACGAATACATCCCCCACAGGTTTTACCATGTAGTTTATGAAGAAGTAAGAAGTTTTATCATGACACGTGTAAGGAGTGAGAAACGGATAAGTAATTGGATAAGTTCAAATAAGATATTTGAAAGGTTGGTATATAGGTTCTTTTGGAGAACTGTGTCCTACTAAGGAACCAATACTAACTTCCTGAATCTTACACGTGAGGAGTTTGAACCTTTGTCGGGCCAGACCGTTTCGTTGTTCCTTTAAAAGGGGTTGTGTACCATCGCGCTGGAAATGGCGAGAAGTTTTACCATGACACGTGCAAGGTTCTTCTGCGCGATGTGCAGCATCCATGGCGGGATGGGTAGCTTCTTTTGCGCGATGTATAAACAATGAATTATATATTTTTTAAACATGTTAAGCTATACTGTAGAGAGAGGTAATGATGAAGACCAGTATTTTTTTTTAGAAAAATTAATGACCCAAATCGTGCCACTTGATCGTGGACTTGTCTTCAGTGCCATGCCACAAGACTTATATGTGTTTTTGGTGATATTCCTTCAACTTGATGTCATATATAAGCAAGATACCGTTAATCCATTTTGTGTAATACTGGCAGCAGCGCGCGTAGTACCTCCCAGCATCACGCACTACGTAAGGTTTTACTGGTATTGACTATACGTTGAACGTATACTTCTTTTCGTGACACTTTGGGATTATGATTTTAGGTCCTATAAGATGAACCTTGTGCGTTGGGATTATGGAAACCACAACTGTATAAGGAAAATAATGAAGACTATGTAGACCAAATAAAAGTGCCATCGCGCACTTGGAATGTGACCTCAGGTTCTGCCCAATAGATAGCTTAAAAGTAATCTTGACATCGTTTGGCGTTCTGCTTACACGATGTGATATTGAAATTAATCAATGTAATGGAAAATTCTTCCAAGAAAGCATGGCAACAAGGGATAAGCATCACGCCGCGATACTTAGATTCATAAGCCCCGTACTGGCATCGCGCCATGATACTTTGGATGGGTATTATCATTACGGGATGACTAACATCTTTGCGAGATGATATAAATTCAATAACTACTGGTAAATAAAAAGCTCAAGGCAGATTACATGTACCTTTTGGGGTAGGAATTGAAGTTTACCTCTTCCCACAGACGGTGCCAATGATCAGACCAAATCTTTATAACTGGGTTGATCATGTGATCTTCCTCTACACAGGCTTGGAACCGTCTTGGGTCAGAGCATCTTGTAGTTGGGCCGCTTTATCCCATGGGTCTTCGATGGAACGCGATTGTGGGTGTACCTGCAAGACACTTCGACGCTCAAGTCAAATATGGTTCAAGCAGGTTCAATTATATAGGAGAAGATGATGTACCTTAGTGTTGATACATGTATTTATAGTGGAGATATGAGCAGCTTGGAGATGTCTTAATGCTGAAGTATACTTGGAGATGAAGTATCTTGAAGTTACTTGCTGTCATGCTGCCTTTAATGTTGAGAAGCTTTGCTAAGATAAGCTTTAATATTGTGGTGCTTGATGGGATAAAGCCATTAATATTGTGCAGCTTGATGGCTGTCATGAGCTTGCTGTTATAGCAGCTTGTGGAGTTTGTTGTCTGTCATGGTGCTTTTAATATTGTGGAGCTTGCAGCCTTCTTGGACTAAGGCTTTACTTCATTGTGAAGACTTTAATTCTGAGCCTTGTATTTGTATAATATTTATCCAGATAAGTGTGTTTATCAAAATAGCTTTAATTTGTATCGGAGAATATACTAAAAGAGAGATTGCGTTATTAAAAAAAAAAAAAAAAGGAGAGATTGCGCTCTTTCGAAGTTATGGAAAAGTATGAATTAACAAGATATTCTTAGAAATTATTTTGAAAAAGATGGTTGGAATTATTAAAAACTATGTGTTATTAATTTAGATTAAATTTTTAAAAATATAAATGAAAATTTAAAATTATTTTTTATAAATGCATAATTTATTTAAAAGAACTTGCATTCAAATTTTAAAAGAAGAAAAATTGAGTATAAATTATTTTTAAGATGGTATATATAAATTAAAATATTTTATATTTAATACAATTGATACAGAAATAATTTTATTTATGAAAATTCCATATTTAATTAAACACATAAATATAAAATATTCAAATAAATAAGGAATTAGAATTAATTAAACAGATATGAAAATAGTCTAAATAAATTTTATTTATAATTAACAAAGAAAATAAATAAAAGAATTGAGAGAGAACTGAAATTATTAAACGTAAAATGAAAATAAACATAAAAAAGGAAACGAAATAAATCATGTATTCAACGAATAAAAATAATACTAACATTAGATTACCAAAAATAAATAAATAATACTGACAGAGATAGTTTGACTTTCAAAAGTGAAAACTGTAATTTAAGTACAAGAATAAATTGTTTAATATTGAGTGCAAACTTTAATTTACAATATAGGAATACATGAAGGCTCTATGTAAATAGAGATGCACTGGCAAAGGGATGCACTATGTATTTTCATCTTAACTAACAATTCGCTATAAGGATAATTAAGATCAATTCAGCCAATGAGAATTTAGCACATTCAGAAATGCACCTCTAAATAGAATTTTATAACAGAGTATTAATAATAACAAAAAAAGATAATTGATTCAAGTATCCCACCAAGAAAAAGAAAAAGAAAAAGAAAAAATCAACATTGCCAGAATCTTGGATGAAAGATAAACATGATTTTATCATCATTATCATTGGAGCCTATTTATTAATCTTTTCATCAGATAGAGGAGAAGAAGCTATTGATGTTGTTTCAAAGCCATGCTGGGTTCTTCAAGGGTGTAACAACAGCCTTCACTTGCAAGTAGTTCTTAAGACTGTATTCTCCTTTTTCTCTTCCCTGTCCACTCATCTTATACCCTCCAAAAGGAATTGCTGCATCAAATGTATCGAAGCAGTTCACCCACACTGTTCCTGCTCTCAATGCTCGAGTCAATGTGTTTGCAGTGTCAATGTCCTTTGTAAACACCCCTGCTGCAAGACCATAGCGTGTGGCATTTGCTCTACGAATCACCTCACCAATATCACTGTCATCAACACAAATATTAGTGCAACATAGTAACATAACAACATTATTATCTCTATGGCAAATAGGAAGGAATCATTGCTCTCTCTTACTTGAATTTTAATATGGATTGCACTGGCCCGAATATCTCATCCTTTGCAATCAGCATGCCATCCTGGTAATATTTGTTACAATTAGTGACACTAGAAAATCACATTTTCAGCTTCATTGATGAGTGTGTGCGCAAGTAAAAAGATATTAATTATTATACCTGAACATTTGAGAACACAGTAGGCTGAACATAGAAGCCCTTGTTGCCAAATCTCTCCCCTCCAGTTTCAAGGGTAGCTCCACTTTCAACACCGGATCTAATGTACTTCAGTATTTTCTCAAATTGTTCTGAATCAATCTGATTTGTTTGGATCATACACAAAATCATCAATATGCCCAGTAAGGGTGTGCCAAAAAAAATCAAATAAACTGAACTGAGTAGTGAAATGATACAAAGTGCACCAAAAGAATTATATTTTTTTGAACTGGTTCTCAAGGCTTGAACATTTTTATTCGAATCAGTTCAAGAACCGAACTACTTTTTCAAAACCAGTTCAGTTCAAGAACCAAATCACTTTACATATTTGGTTCAATTTGAGTTAAAAACTGAACCGAACCATGCTCGTTTTTATGAGTGTAAAAAAATCGAAATAAATTGAACTGAACCGCGAACCAGACCGAACCGCATCACATTTTTTCAAACTAATTTAAGAACTGAGCCATTTTCTACAAACCGGTTCAAGAACAGAACCACTTTTCAAAACTGATTCAGTTTGCCCGAACTAAACTATTTTTCTAGTTTGGCTCGGTATAGAGAACCAAACTGAACTAATGCCCAAACATTTTAACACAATGTCATACATTAAGACATAAGGTCAAGGATGACGGTGTGTTACCTGAGGACCTTGCTCTATTCCCTCTTTGAATGGATCACCAACAGTACGCTTCAAAGCACGTGCCTTTGCTTTCTCAATAAACTCATCGTACACACGTTCATGTACAAATGTTCGAGACCCAGCACAGCAGCATTGTCCCTGAATGTCACCATAAGCACCAATCAGTTTTTCTAATTTTATCTGAACTCCATGAAAGAGTATTGTTTTACAAGACAAACTCTATATTTGTATTTACCTGATTAAAGAACAATGCAAAGTGTGCTAGCTCAACAGCCTGATCTATATCAGCATCTTCGCATACAATAAAAGGGGATTTCCCACCAAGCTCCAAAGTTACAGCCTTAAGATTGCTCTTTGCAGCAAGTTCAAGGACAATTTTTCCGGTACTAGTTGAACCTGTAAAAGCAATCTTCAAGAAAACGTCAAAAAGTTAGGACTTAAGACTATAAGACACTATTAAAGCCTAATCATCCATCTGGGTGAAAATAATTATTAAATTAGAAATTGAAACTTCTTTAAAAGAGTAGTAAAGAAAAACTTTAATTAAGACATATTAAATATACTATTGCCTATAGAGTTTTTTAAGAGAACCAGGGACATGGCCTGAAGCTGAATAACTCTTTTCTAAGCATATAGTTTGCTACAAGAATTTTATTTGGCACAGGAAACTCATTCCTGCTACCAGCAAAATCATAACACTACTTTACTAAAAGGATTTGCCAATGCTGAGTTCGAAAACAAGTGAATACTACTGCAAAACTAAATATGTTAATACCTTATCTACATCCATGTGACTAGCAAGAGCAGCACCAGCAGTTGGACCAAAGCCAGATATTATATTTAAAACACCAGGAGGAAGCCCAGCCTGCCAGAGAGACATAAATTTGGTATGAACATTCAAGATATATGTACCAATCTATTCATTTCTTTCAACCAAATAAATGAGCACAACAACATTAACAAGTGGAATTAGCTTATCATAATGAAATTTTTACAAAAATATGCAGACCAAAGAAAGAAATCATAGTTATCTAACCATTGGTTTAGTTCCGTGCATGGATAATGGAAGTTAAAAAAATAAATTGAAACATAATTTTGCTAATAATTAGAAGTGAGATATATGATAATGTTTCAGTACTTGAAAAAATGAAGCAAATTTGAAGGAAATAAACTAAAACTAATCTTCTTACAAAAAGGAGTATGGAATATCACCCACCTCATGAAGTAACTTAGTTGCATATAAAGCAGATAATGGTGTCTGCTCAGCTGTTTTCAGAACAATAGTGTTACCACAGGCCAATGCTGGGCCAACCTTCCAGGCAAACATGAGAAGTGGGAAGTTCCATGGAATGATTTGACCCGCAACACCAATGGGTTCATGCAATGTTTGCACATGATATGGTCCATCAGCTGGAACTGTGAGACCATGAATCTTATCTGCCCAACCTGAGGAATTTGGAAATACAAGTGTTAGTACTAGTAAGTTTCATAAATGCTAAAACAACAAGGAGACAAGTTATTTCCACATACCAGCATAGTATCGAAACAGGCGAACCAGCATTGGAATTTCAATTTGAGCAGATTGTGCATATGGCTTCCCATTATCCCAAGTCTCAAGTGCAGCAAGCTCATCATTATGCTTTTCAAACAGATCAGCAGCACGCAATAATACCTTTTGTCTTTCCTATAACAGAAAGAAGAAAAAAAGGATTTAGTTGAATACTCATCATGGGACTAAAGATCATGACTTTGTACATTGTTCAAGAAGCAAAATCACAATCAGAAAATAAGGTAAAGGGTAAAAGTACATAGGCTGTCATCTTTGGCCAAGGTCCATGATCGAATGCTTTGCGTGCAGCTGCAACAGCACGATCAACATCTTCATGGTCACCCTCAGCAACATGAGAAATCACTTCTCCTGTCCTGGGGTCCAACGTTGGAAAAGTTTTGCCTGATGCCATGGAATCACAACATTAAGACACCTGATAAACTTCAAAAACCAACCTTTTTTTTTTCTCTTTAGTTTTTTTTTTTTAATCAAAATGCTAACTTTATGTCCAAATGGTGAAGTGGATGGGGTGAAAAGAAGAGGGAATAGAAAATGCTAACCAGAAGCTGCATCCACAAATTTTCCTTCAATTAAGAGCTGGGTGTGTTGTACTTTAACTGATGGTTCAATTGGTTCTTCAATGGCAGAAGCAGTGCTGTATTTACTGAGCCCTGTACCTAGGTAACCACTCCCACCTGAATATCAGAACAAGGGTCAATGGCCTTAAAGTCTTAAAAGTAAACCCACTAATGAAGACTCCAACTCAAAAACCAAGGCTTAAAAAAAAAAACCAAAAAAAAACACAAATCAAAAGCATGATTATTTAGCATGGCATGTGCTCCAACATAAATCTAACTTCACAGTTTGCTACAACTACACCATGAAAGTAACATGTACTTGCAGGGTCAGTGAAAGAAACAGGTAGTAGCTGACAAGAACATGGACCTAACAATAAATGACATAACAGATACTTCACTACATATAGCACTTACAGGTACACAGATCTTGGTAAAGTTCCAAACTTTTCATATCCCTCCCCCTCCCCCACATGGGGATGGACCTATCATTTTCAAAGTACCTTTCATTTTCTCTATTTCCAAACAATCAGATTTGATCCAATCATCTCCGAACCAATTGGAGACTATCGTACGAATCATAAAACGATCCAAATCCACCCAAAATTGGAATTTGACGGCAGAAAACAAATTAACCAAACCCAATAAACCAAATCAAATAAAATATATATATAAAAAAAATTGAAGAGCACTTCATTTTCGTTTCTACATGTCCACAAGAACTGAGCAATAAAATAATCAGATCACCCCATAAACTTGGAAGTGACAAAAACAACAAAGTACCTCTAGAAAACACAGAAGTAGTGGAAGCAGAAACAAAAGAACGAGATAGCAGCCTTGAGATCCTAATTGAAGAAGCCATGGTATATTTTCTTTCTATTTTGGTTTTCCTCTCTTCACTATTATTTTAGTTCAGTTTGTGAAATGGTAGCAGCTTTATATATAGCTGCAGTGTTAGCAGGTCAAATATAAAAGTACACCAACCCTTTACCATCTACAATTGTGAAAGAAACACAAATGCACAGTAAGTCATGTGAGATATAAACGCATGAACAACCAAAAGTTATGTTGACATCCCAAAACACATTCAGTGATGGCTTTTCATTGCTCAATTGAACCGTTGAATTATTAGAAAAGGTTATTATGGTGACAACTGGCAATCTCAGCCTTTGGTTGTTTCCTTTTATATCCCCTTTCGTTGGTTTGGTGGTAACTTTCATTTTCTTTTTGTTCTAATCCTTATCCATACCCACAGCCACAGGCACGTATTTCTATTCCTATTAATTTGGCAACTTTAATTTGGCAACTTTAATAATTGGCACGCATTTCTTTTCTCGGTTAAATTTAAAGTCCAGGATCCATTTTGCATAGAATTTTTTGGAATTTTCTTAATTACTCAGGTTAATAATATTAAGATATGATATTACATATAATTCTTTTTATGCCCTATTTTATTTATTCATTTCTAATACTGTTGTATCATAATCTTACAAAATATATATATATATATATATATATATATATATATATAGGGAAATTATGCTCTCATGTCACATGAGAGCAAAAAATTTTCCTACACAGATTCGTTTTTCGTGTCAATTAATTTTTCTTTTTTTTTATAATATAAAATGTGAGACCCACATTTAACTTCTCTCTACTTTTTTTATCTCATGCAATCCTACAACATGAGAAAATATGAACTCATATATATATATATATATATAAGGTTTAAGTTTTATCACGTTGCTGCAAAGTGAAACTTTTTTACAGCACACACAATCAATGGTGGAGTCTATAATTGATTAAAATAATGAAAAAAAAATGGAGTGATGTGATGTTTTTTTGTGTGTGCTGCAAATTTTTTTTACTTGATGTCACGTGACAAAACTTTAACCCATATATATATATATATATATATATATATATATATATAGATAGGGTGAATATTATTTGAGATTATAATTTAATAGTGTTAAACAAAAATAAGTAGAGTATGTATACAAAAAAATAGGTATAATATCTTATCTGAATAATATTTAAAGTACAATATTAACTGTTTTTTATTTTTTTTAGGAGGTGAAATATTTCTGCTTTTTTGTTTGATATTTTTTAGTTTATATAATTGAAAATATTATTAAGAAGATATTTATTGTAGATACTGAATGTACGGCTGTGATTCAAATTGCATCGGATATGGATTGTTGACTTGTCGTGACTTGTGATTTGGTATGAAAGCCGACTAAATTGGCATACCATGTCATGCTGACTAGTTCAATTTTTCTTTTCCTTTTTCTTCATTTGGCGTTTATCTCTTATTTGATTTTTATTTATGTATGAGATCAGAAAGCGACATGTGTTATGGAAATTTAAGTTGGGTAGAACTTTCATTTATTTATTATGTGTATATATACACAATAAAACGTAATTTGTAAAATTAAAATAATAGATTCTTTCATAGTTTATACAACGTTATATATGATAGTAAAGATGAAATAGTTATTCTATCTATTTTTTTTTTTTTATTATTCGTCAACACCATTGTACTAGAATCTTAATAGGAGAGAAAAATAATAAAAATAATTGAGATTATGGTCTAAAGGTATATGAGAGTAATAGACAAAAATAAACAAATAAAATGGTGGGTAAAATAATTTATTCCTAGTAAAAATATAGATAATTGATGTTTTATTAAAATTTGTGATATCTTAATTATAATTTTTTTTTTATCTGTATCTTTTCGTATAATCTTATTAAATTGAAATTGCTGGTAAAAGAAATTATTCTTGTGGGACCAACAATGAAGTTGACGTGAGTCTAATGTTTGTAATTAGGATAATGAATTATATACTTACACTCTTTTTTTCAATTTATATACATTATAGTGTGCACACTACGTATGTGGCATGATCTAATCAGTCAAAACTCAACGACTGATGTATACAATGGCGTGTTTCATGTTCAAATTAGTGAAAACAAAATGCATATTATACAAATAATATAGGATGAGTATCCTAATCTCTAGCTTTAAATTCACACTCTGGAACGACATAAATATTCTGAATTTGGCTCAACCGAATAAGCTTATTTCTTATGCTTATATGCGCTGGAGTTAATGGTAGTGAAAATGCAACAAGTAGTTCGAAATAAAACTTTTTGCCAAGATATGAAGATTATTGATTTGAAGATCAATTACTTTTTGGCTTTCTTTTCTATTTCACAAGATTATAACGTCCTTGGATGATTGCGGATCATTAATTTTCATTTGGCGTTGTTCCTAACAATTGGTAGAAATCCCAAGGAAAACAGGTGGATGAGAATAGTAACAATTCTCATTTTGAAGTTTTTGTTAATTTAGAGGAGGTAGAGATGTTCATGTTAATCATAATGGTTTAGTTGAGTAAAATCCCAACTTGTTTTGGCTAATCATTAGGGACAAGGAAGTCATCCCAAATCCCAATAGAGGGATAGCATAGCAGGTTATCAACAAACCTCATAAAGGACCCAATGGTCAGGTGGCCCTACGGGTTCAGCCAGATTCTAGTGCAAAAGTTAGAGTGAAAGAAGTGGTTTCTCATTGGCCATGCGATGTCAATCATTCATAGGTCAGTTACTTGAATCAAATATAAGATCTAGGAATGGCATTTGGCATGAGCTTACTCAAATTTCTTTGGCGATGATAATCCGTAGATTGTGCTTGGCGATTTCAATGCTCACCTTATGATAGGGAAAAATATTTTCAGTACTATCGGTTTACTGATCATTTGATATATTGTTTATTAAATCTGAAAAAAGTAACACATTTACATTACTTTTATTTTTATAATTATTTTTTTTAATATATTTATTTATTTATTTTGATAAGAATGTACCTATATCTGTTACACCGAAGATTTACTCATAGTGGGGGGCTACTGATTAGACCCTTTTTGTGTAAATTCTCAGACTGTTTAAATGAGCATCACCTAATGGATATAAAGCTATTTGAAGGACCTCCTCTATATTTTAGAAGATTAAATGATTTTGATCATGTCAAAGCATACAGAACTCATTTTAAAGATGCTAAAATTTCGGGTTAGATAAATTTTAGATTCTTTGTAACACATTAAATATATCTCTAAGCATGATTTCAAGCTCCATTGCATACCATTGCATACCATTGCATCTCATATTAAAATTTAATAATTTTTTTATGGGTTTAGTTAAAATTATAAACTAAATCAATTAATTAAATAGGTTTTAGAAAAAAATAGTTTTAAAATTAAGTGATATTAATAAAATAAAATAAAAATATAAAACCCATCAAAAGTAGCTTTTACAAAAAGTTAGTAATCAATATATAGAATCTACAGGTCGCGTAGGTTAATACTTTTGTAAAATTAAATCAAATAAATAAAAAATAAAATAAAATAAATTTTTTTTAACACATATGAACCATTTAACGTGTAGATGTGATCTTGGTAAGATAGGTTAGCTTTTTGTTGGTAAAGCATTTTTCTATTAGGGGCGTTTAATAAAGGAGATATTTTTTTTTTACCGGAGAAATATAATTAATGAGAATATGGTAGGAAAGTAAGTTAGATGAAAAAGTTTTAAAAAAAATATTTGGTTCACCGAAATTTTACCAAAGAAATTTATTTAAATTTGCAAAGTCTATATTTGGTTGAATGTAAAATAGTGATGGGAAAATTGGTTGAATTGACCAAAATACCCTCATTATCAATATTTTTCAAACGAACCACTGCCTAAGAGTGAGAGTCCAACGTCAATAACTTAGTTTCCTTAAATACCACTTCCCCACCTATCCTAAAATACCACACCCAAAGTGGTATTTGTGAACAGTTAGTTTCAGCAAAAAAACAACGCAAGTCTAATTGCCTAGGCTTCCTACTCTACTACTGGTCTTCTTTTTTTTCAAAACTTGAACCAAACGTGGTCTTTTTCAATACCCACCCATATTTTCCCATCAAACTCAAATGAAAACCTGTACCAAACACACTCTTAGTATAATAAGTGGCAAAAATCGAGAAAAGTTCTGTACAAGAAATCGAAAAAAAAAAATCATTTTCTGAGATCCCCTTCGTCTTCTTCGTTCATTCACACTAAGATCGTTCTTCAAAAGTCCATCTTCTTCGACCTGCAAAAAAATACAGCACCTATTATGAGCGAAAATTTTCCTTGAGATCAAGTCTCATAAGCTACCTTGTGTGAGAGTGATCTGTGATGTTCCTCTAATCTTCCTCCCAAAAAAAATCTCCAAATTTCCTTCAACAAATTTTCTCTTCTTGAACCCTAAACAAAGTGCACCACTATTGATGAGTCTCTTGATCGATTTCTGAGTCAAGATTGGTGACTTGGAGTGTTGTTCATGATTCTACAAGTTTGGAAAGATTTAATTCAAGATTCTTGGAACTAAGGTTGAAGAACCCTAACCACATTTCTGTTTTACTTTGCTGCAAATTTGAGATCTCTTGAGGCAATATCTTAAACCTTGTTTTGAGCATCCTTTGGTATATTCTTGAGACTTGATATTGTTGATTTGATTTTCTGTTTTTATTTTGATACATTGTGAGTATTCCAATTTCTCTGTTTGATTTTAAATGATAATAATAAAAATCTTGATGCTCTTTGTGTAAGATTTGTGTTTCTAATTTTTGTGAAAGATCATTTAAAAATATTAAATCTGAATTTGTTTTTATAACTTGTTATACATTGTGTTAATTCAGATTTTTGTTTGAGATTCACTGTTTAGAAGCCTAATCTTGAACTGTTCTAGAAATTTTATTGTTGGTATATTAAATCTGAATTTTCTGTTTTAATTGAGGAATATTGTGCTTAAAATTCAGATTAATTGTGATTTATCATTAAGAGATTTAGCTGGAACTAATTCTGAAATTGTTGTGAAATTTTGAGAGAAATTACAAATATGATTTTTCTATATATAGTGTGATAGTTTTTGTTTAAATCAGAATTTTTAGTGTACAT